AAATTATAGTATAAACATTTAGATTATGCGGAAAATGTTCTGCAGAACAGAATATATATTCTATAGAATGTGTATTTTTCCTGCTTTTTTCATGTTTCTTGGGGTTGTTTTTTTTCTTTTCCTGCTTTTTTCATGTTTCTTGGGTTGTTTTTTTTTTTATTTTAACATTACAGTTCTTTTTATAGGGGTTCTTCTATTACCATTATGACTGTAGGACTTAGAAAGCTCATCTGTAAAATGGGTGCTCAGGCACTGGAATAGGTTGCCCAGGGAGGTGGTGGAGTCACCATCCCTGGAAGTGTTTAAGAGGCATCTGGATCTGGTGCTGGAGGATATGGTTTAGGGTTTAGAGGTTCCAGCAGTGACAGGTTAATGGTTGGACTGGATGATCTTAGAGGTCTCCTCCAACCTTGATGAGTATATGAAATTCTGGCTACTTCAGATGTATCATGCAACAAAAAGGGATCATCACTTGGGGAGCAAATGTTCTTTATTTACCGAAGAAGAGAACTGATTGTTTACATTTCCTGAGTACAAACTTGTGTAACTGCAGAATACTATAAGTTGCACATGCACTGTTATTTATTTTTAGAAATATGCTAATTCAGGAGTATGTTAAGCTAAGCTTTTCCTTTGGACAGTGGAAAATTAAAAGACAAATAGTATGTGGAGACAAGCCATCAACGCAATGTGCCAAACATCTGAAAGGATGTCACAATTCATTCTATGATTCTTAACAAAGACAGGACACAAAAAAAAAAGGTAGTCCCTTGTGCCCCAGAGAGTATTTCCTCAATCCTGGACATTAGTTTGCAAGTTTCTGCACTCACAGGGCATTGCCAATACTGGAGTAAGAGAATATTTTTTTCTTCAAAATCCCTTCTGTACCACAGATAACATTCAGCCTTGCAGGGGCAATTCCACAAATACAGTCAGTTCTGGGGAGTAAGAAGGAATTTTAAAGTGGTAAATGTGCAGCAGAAAAATAAGTGAAAAAACCCTGAATAAAAATTGTGTATTCCTATTGTTTGGAGTTAAGAAACTATAAAAAGATTCAATTAAATGAACTTTGATATTCTTACCAGCATTTCATCATTTCACTACATTTATTTTCTACATCTGTGGGGACAGATCTTTAGCTGTGGTTTGCTCAATGTTTGTTTTGATGTGCTTTCTTTTCAGATCACAGTATATGAGCATACAGTCAAGATAAAAAATCCAAGTCAGTCATTTACATATCAGACTGAAAACTCCTGCAGACAAGGAATTATATTTTCCTCATTTATCTACATTTAAAATTGATCTTTGCATTGACTTCTGATCTGTATATGCAAGAAAAAATAATGCTTTTATAGAATGATCTTACTGAGCCATCCAGGAAAAGTCTGTTCTGCAGAATTTAGTAGGATCTAAGACTAGATCCTACTAAAGGATCTAATAGGATCCTTTTGCAGGATAATATCCTACTATAATCATAATATATAATATTATAACAGGATTAATGCATTCTTTGTTTTAGTGAGCATCTAGGTTACTATGACTTTTAAGTACTGAAAAGATCTTAAGTTTTCCCTTCATTGTTTTTCTTAGGGTTGCTGACATACCCATTTTATTTCTTGCTTAAATTTCAGTTGATGTCTTCAGAAATATTGCCAGTGGCTGCAATGGGATTCAAGACTTGCTAATTAACAAAATGCCAACTCTTACAGACTGATGTATTCAAGTAAGAAACTGAAAATAAATCTGCACTTTGAGAAACTTTCTGCTGTTAGACCTGGGTTATCCCTCAAATTGCTTTAAAGAAAGTTATGCAGAATCAATTTAAGAGGAAAAGTTCTCCCCTCCCAAACATTATACTACAGCTGTTATCTAATTATGATTGTAAATCTTGCCCACTTGCAGTCACTCTCAGAAAATTTCAGTTGTCTTGTCTTCTTTCTTGCATTGGTGTGGCTGAACTGTGGTCTTGCAATCTATAAATGAGAGATTTTTCAGTTTTTTTCAGTGTTGAAGCAAATATAATATATGGGAACAGCTTTCTGCTACTGATTTTACCCATCAGAAAAGAATTTTCAGGCTTCTGCAAAAGTGATTGTTAACTGGATCATGGTCTCGGGTGCCTGCCATGATTCATGTCTGCAGGTACTTACTTCTTTACCTTTTGTTGCCAAACACAATGACTTTATGGAGAATTTCAGGGGTTTATATACCACTCACTGTCTAGAAGTTACTGTTAAAATGGATTATAACTGTTTGAAATGGTAACATTTTGGTATTGTATGCAGAACGTTTGCTGGTCTTTTGTTACATGACACCATAGGGATATGAATGCTTTATTTCATGTTTCCCCTTCAAAGACTCTGGTTGAAAAATGCCCAACAGATAGTGTCTGTTGTCATTCTTCACTCTCCAAAACTTCTGACACAACTTTTACAGACTCCAGTGAATGTAAACTTGTCAAGGTAAGCACTGAAAGTTAGTACAAGAGTTCCAAAATTATTAGGATGATGTATTTTTAAAATTGGTTCAGATAATTTGAAATGATTCTTCCATCTGGTTTCAGTCAGTATTTGGATCATGCCCTTAATGTATGTCAGACACATAACTTATATCTTTATATATTTCAACATGGAATAACCAAATTACTGTTTGAAGTTTCAAGCTGATGAGTCAATGCATAAACCACACATTGGGCACATTCATCTGGCTGATTGCCAGAAGATTGCAGATGATAATCTTGAGATGATTTCACCACTGAAGCATATTCTTGCACTGAATGTGGCACAAGGTCCTAGATCACATTGGATTCCTGTAACCATTGCAAAGGGATTGTGGGAAAGTTAGTTATACTTATAATGAGTCCTGTTAACACACCAATCAGTTTTAAAAATAAGCCCTTAGAATGTTAAAAAATGTATCTTAATATTTTAAAAAATATTGTATACGAGGAGTTTTTTGCATCATGTTTTCAAAAATCCAGTCATTATTACTACAGTTCAAGCAAAAATATTAGTTTAATAGTCATGGCATATTTTAGTGCTGGAATGTGGCTACAAAGAAGGTGAATATGATAACCATAGACAATTCCAGTGTCTGTTAGGACCGTTAGGGTGTTCAGGCATTGGAATATTGCCCAGGGAGGTGATGGAGTCACCATCCCTGGAAGTGTTGAAGAGGTTCCTGGATCTGGTGCTGAAGGATATGGTTTAGGGTTTAGGGGTTCCAGCAGTGAATGGTTAGACTCGATGATCTTAGAGGTCTCCTCCAACCCTGATGATTCTATGACTCTGTGTATCAGTAAAAACAAAGGCTAATGAAAGGGCTTCCAAAGCTGCACACTTGTTCCCTGTTTTGTGGCACAGTGATGGAGTCAAGGATGTAAGAGAAGAGGGAAGGCAAAACCTACAAACATTTCAAAATTGACAGACCTATGAATTAAAGCTGCTTGTCTTAAAGTTTTTGATGCCCTGTGAAGTTTCAGGGATTCTGCTTTAATGTGGGACTCATGGACTTCTTGTGCCTGTTGATGCTGCAAAAAATCTGATAATGTTGCCTCTAGAAGTACTGAGAAGTGCTGGAGTAATACTGTGGTATCACATAGGTAGCTCAGCTGGGCAGGTGGGACAGCTGTCTGCATTTTCTGGTTTAACACTTAGAAGGTTTTCCACTCTGTCAGCCAAACCTTGGGCTGTGAGTGTCTTTGCACGTGTCTCCTGCC